AGGAATTCCAAGGATTTCCAAAACAATTTTTTTAAACTGCAACAACTAGAGAGATGAGAAAAGTACAATATCTATCTGTTTGGCTATTAAAGCGTTTAAATAAAGAACCAGTGAAATGCATATAATTCCCAAGCAGAGACCACCACTTTCAGCAAAATCTCTTAAACAGGAATACCACGGTGAGTGGCCTTTGCTCCCATTAAGAGTGACTCCCAATTAAAAAGATACTACTTTAATAGCATTGAAGATTATTATGAAGGATTAGTCAGCCAAGTAAGAGTTAAATTAAGAGAAGAGAAACCAAAGGAAACTGATGAACGGTGTTGAATATAACAGAGAGATGAAAGAGATAATTACAGTAGAACCTCAGAGTTACGAACTGACTAGTCAACCACACACCTCATTTGGAACTTGAAGTACAAAAATCAGGCAGCAACAGACATGACCCTCCCCTCCCCTCCCCCCACCCCCCCCCAAAAAAAAAAAAGCAAATACAGCAGGGTATATTTTTTTAAATCGGATTTTTTGATAAAATGCTTTGAGGAAAAAAGCAATCTAAAGATAGTTTTAATTAAGATACATTATAGCTCAAAGATATCTCATCGTGGAATAGGGATTATAAACTCTAATTCTATAATATGAGACAATATATTCATGTAATGTTTAAGAAAATTTTTGTTAATGAGTTTCAATAGTTCATGGATTAGGGACCCAATCTTATGGGGTTCCAGGGGCTTCTGTATAGAAAGATTAACCTAAATAATCTATCTACCCAATGGGACTCAGTGCTCGGTCTAGAAGATACCATCAGAGATTCTTAGTTTTGCAGTTCTCAGACTGTGGATTTATGACTCTAGAGATAACATGCTTGTTAACAGCAAAAAAGTTTTTAAATAAATAAATAAATAAAAAATAAAATAAAAATAAATAAAGGTGAGAAACAACAGAACTCAACTCTGTTGTCCCTCTGCAAATTTGTGTACACAGAGTCAATCCCTTACCTCTCTCTAAAAGTGCAAAATTTCAAAAAGTTCGATGACTAGATGATTGCCGGGGGTGGACTAGATCTGGACAAGGAGAAGAAGTCTGGAGATAAACGTGAGAAGCGAGGGACATATGCTTGTTTTCTTAAAATATTATATGTTTGCTGTTGAAGAAAAAAATCCAGAATACTTAACATTGTTGTTTTAGTTAAATGTCTGTCTGGTGATGTTCTGCTACTAATACGGCGCGTGGCAAGAAAATCCTCCAAATATTAATGATTAACCTATTGAATTGGAGATCTTTATAAAGTCATTGGGAGGTGAACTGACTGCTTCAATTACCTTTGGTAAATGAAATAACCAATCATTCATTTTCTGATATAGCTGTAAAACTAATCTGAAAAGTTTTCAAAATAAATCACTGTTTAAAAATGTATAGTGTATAACTTCTAAAAATGAAACCTACATCTATCTCTGAGTTGTGAAGAATAGGTATTAAGGTTATAACAACCAACAAGAATGCACTTTTATGTAGAAAACCATGATTAAATCGAGTCTTCTTGACTAGTGATTTAAATCATGATTTAAAATCCACCCTGAAATACAAGTACTGAGTTAAATGTAAACTAAATTTTAAAAAAAGGGAAAGCAGCATTTTTCTTCTGCATAGTAAAGTTTCAAAGAGCTGTATTAAGTCAATGTTCAGTTGTAAGTTTTTTAAAGCACCACCATAACGTTTTGTTCAAAGACTACAAACATTTCAGAGTCACAAATAACCTCCATTCCCAAGGGGTCATAACTCTGAGGTTCCACTGTACTCCTTTGGTTTAGCTCGGAAGTTGGTAGTTGTTTTAGACCTGAAAATATAAAACTAGGTTAGAGTGGGAAAATAAAAGGCTGAAGATGAAGAAGAGAGAAACAGGAGAGAAAGTCAATTCAATGTGATAACACCAGAACTTGAAAGGAAAAAAATTGTAGAATATAAATTTTAAAAATAGTTGGGATGGGCAGTCCCCCTCCCCCCAGAATGGAGATACAAATGTGTGTTTGGAGGCTGAGGAAAGAGGGGGCAGGAGTGAGTTAGCCAACAAGAAATTCAAGGAGCTGAATCAAAAGAACGAGAGAAGGCAGACCTCAGAATAAAGGGCATTAGGGAGAAGGGTTTTTTGTTTGTTTTAAACTGGCTAGTTCCTTGGCAAAGGGAAGAGAAGGTTTCATCTCATTCAGGTAAAGGGGCTAGCCTATTGTCATTAACAAAGCTTGGTTTTGTTTTGTTAAAGTTCTCAGTAATGAAAATAAGCTCAAGGTTATCTGGCTTCCCAAACACAAGTTCTATTTTATTTTTTATTTATTTAATCTGATTTAATAAGGCAGAAAGCGTTGAACGATAATCTCTTTCTACATAGCATGCTTTGAGTCACAACTATTGTTTTATAGGAAGTTAACATGCATATTTTTACTGTACTTAAAACATTTACTTCTTATTTTAAAGGGGAGAACCAAAAATAGTGAATACAAAGAAAAAAAACCAGCAGTTAACTGACAGGTTGACTGAAAACTGAGCAAACAAAATGAAATTGTATGGAAGTTATCACTAGCTGTTCACTAACCTTATCACGACCATAACTTTCTCAAGAGAAAAAGTATTAGCATCAAAGTGGGGGAACATAGTTTGTTTCTAACTACCAGTCTGACAAGTCAAAATATAACCCAGCAACTAACAAGGATATGAAACACTCACTCCCGAGAGATGTAGCCAAGTTGACCAAAACCACAGTATAGACACGGCTAGGTCAACGAAACAATTCTTCCATGACAATGAAGAACACTTTTTAATGAGGCTCTCACAGTTGGGTGTAGGGTCCAGCTGTCATTGGGAAACATATCTCTAGCGGTGGAGTGCATGCAATACTGTGGTGGACCAGGAACATGTGAGGAATGGGGGCGGGGAGAGGGCGAGTTTGGGATGGGCATGGAAGGCAGTTCTGAATGCGCTTCAGGGGAAGGTGAGCACAGATGTGTTCTGCTTGCAGTGCAATCAGGACACACACTGACATAATGTGGTCCATCTCTTTCCTAGATATTAGTATGGAGCACTCCCAGGACATCCAGATGGGGGAATGAGAGGCAGTACTACTGTTGGTTATTTCTATCCCTCTTCTACCCTGAAAAAAAAAAAAAAACAGCTCTACCTCATTTCTCCCTGCAGTATCGAAGCACGAGTACTTATCAGAGCTACCTCCCCCTGCACCAGGTGCGCCAGAGTTAAAAACAGCTCCTGGCTCTCCATGCCACCAGACAACCCTGTTGCCTGTCCCCCCATCTTCCTCCAACTCCACTTCGTCCTCTGCAGTCACTCCACTGGCCACTGCCTCCAGCCCCCCAGAAGTATCCACAGGCCTCTCAGTGGTGGAGGTGCAGTTGCCGAATATGGCATGCAGTTCCTTGTAAAAGTGGCATGTCTTTGGCAACGCACCAGACTGATGATTAGCCTCCCTTGCCTTCTGGTATGCCTGCCTCAGCTCCTTGATCTTGGCATGGCAGTTGTGTCTGCCTCTCATACCCCTTCAGCTCTATGCCACAAGCAATCTGCCTGTAGGTATCAAAGTTCCTATGGCTGGAGTGGAGCTGCGACTACACAGCCTCCTCTCCCCACAGACCCAGCAGATCTAACAACTCCAGTGTACTCCAGGCAGGAGCATTTTTGCTGCAGGGAGTTGCCATGGTCAATTGCAAAGATGCTATTTGAGCTATCCATGCTGAGCAAACAGGAAGAGGAATTTCAAAAAGTCCCAGGGCTTTAAAGGGGGAAGGGTGCATGCCTGCATAACTGAACTCCACTGCCATGCAGCCAAAGTGGTGACCAGAGCAGTCATGATTGGCATTGTGGGACACCTCCTAGAAGTCAATTAAGGTGACATAAGGAACGCAGTTTCTACACTGACACTTCTCTGCTCTAGCTTAGTTGCAAAAAAACCACCTGGATGAGAGGCACAGAGTTTATTATGTCGGCATAGCAAGAGAGTTAATTCAGTGGGAGGAGCATTACACTGTGTAGACATCCACTGTTTTGTCGACAAAATTGTGTAGTGTAGACATGGCCTTAGAGTAGGGAGAAACAGGGCAGCTCTGCTGTCTGGGAATTAAAGACTGGTGAAAAGACAGTAAAGTCAGCTATGAGCGCTGAGCTTCCAGCCATCCCCTGCACAGCTGCAGGGCAGCCCTAACTATAATCCTCTTCTATCTACCAATGGCAATGATCCCACTCAGTCTTTCCTCAGCCATTTCTTACTCGCTGGGTTAGGGGAAACAACACCCGCAAGATCGGAGGGGCTGTAGTAAAGAGATGTAGAATGAGTCTGTTTCCATTGCCAGATTAAAGGGCTGCTGGAAGGGGATTAAATATGGGCCTCACCAGCAGAGAGGAAAAAAAGAAACAGAACTCCGGTCCAGCGTTACTGACTGTTGACCAGTCCAGAGTTCCCTAGCAGCAGTGGTGTCCACCTCTGAGCTAAATTAAAAAAAAAAAAAAAAAATTTAAGGTGACCAGGAATGATCATCGTCATCGTGACCCCCTTTTCTAGAAGTGATGCCAGCAGCTCCAAGTTTAATATTTTAGTAGTTCTTCTATTTAATAGAAATATTTCAGTTACTAAAGTTTAAAACCTTCATAAATCAGATTTAATAATTTTATTAAGATGTTAAAATAAAAATAAGGGTACAGAGTTTAAGCGTAGAAATTTCTGGTTATCAGGGAATAAGGTACAGATTATCAACGCGTGCAAAATTCGGTTTACGATTGGATGGCGTAAGGAATACATAATCTGTAATATCCCCGATTGGGGGTAAAAGGTTAATGGGTCAAAGTACAGACATTGAGATATGAGGGTATGTTGTTCATATAATGGCTATGTTCAGGTGTGGAGTATAATGAGCGGATACGATGATGAGGATGGATTTACCCTCATTTGGTGAGATTTAATGTTCAGTGAAAAGAAAAGGAGTACTTGTGGCACCTTAGAAGCTAACAAAATTTATTTGAGCATAAGCTTCGTGAGCTACAGCTCACTTAATCGGATGCATTCAGTGAGTTTATGGTTCCAGTTCATATGGTCCAATGGTAAAAGTCTCTCGGTCCCTTTCTCATAGTTGATGCAAGATGTTGTTCTGGCTCACACCTGCTGGTACTGTTGGTGGCCGGTGATGTGTTCGATGTAGATGTCCCTGGACCACCGGATGGCGTCCGAGACCATGAGGCACCGCATGAGCCGTGCATAGCGTCGACCGATCCCACAGGTCTGCAGCACACACTCATTGTAGGGGACCCAGGCACAGAGGGCTCCAACGACCAGGGCATCCATCTGCACCTTGTAGCCCTTTGCTCTCAGGGTGTCGGCCATGGAGGAGTATTTTTCCAGCTTACAGGCTCAGGCTTCGCGGAAGGCCGGGGTCCTGTTCTCAAAGGAGACCATGATGGCGAAAAGATCAAGCAACTTCAAGAACTGTCTAGAGCCCAAAATAGCAGTTACTTATGTGGAGAAACTATTTATAACTCAACTAGACAGCTTTCAAAGTATTCTAGTTTAAGACATGCAAAAAAGCAATCAACGGATATCTTTAGAACTAGTCAGTTCAGCTAGCTACAGAGAAAAATTTTGGTTCAAATTAGTCAACTATTAATACATGCCTAAGATTCTTTTTTCAGCAAAACAGACCCCTCAGCAACCTTAATTATCCTCCCCTCCCCCACCACAAAGTTCTTTGTATGTACTTGTTGAAATACTCTGTCCAATAAGATGGAAAGTATTATGTCAAGGGTCCTGAGGCACCTTCTCAATTAAGTCTTGATGGTGTACATTTACCCACCTTTTTGATATATAGGTCTCTACTAGGCTAGAAAACTCTCAGAACACAAATAATTGAGGCTATATAACAGCTCTATTTTAAAATATGCATAGTGCCTCTCCATAGCACTGACATTTTCGAACTATCAAGAATCATGTTTAAAATATGGCTCTCTACGAGAAGGCTTAAACAGTTTGAAAATCTAGTATAGACAAGGGTATAGTTAGTGAAGACTAAAACATGGAATGGTCAGCTGACACAAGGAAGCGAGTATTAAAGAGACAGAAACAAACTGCTCTTCTTTCTAATGTATATTCTGATTCAGTTAAATCTTTTAAGTCATAAGTCCAAATTACTACCTGAAACTCAGGTCTGCAAACAGAAAAGTGTTCAAGTTTATACAGCTTCTAGCTCATCCTCAACAAATCCATTACTCCCCACTCATTATAGCTGACTATGGAATAATAAGTGACTCCACTTAACTTTTTCACACTGACATTTTGAACATAGCATTTACTAGGGAAAAAAAGTTTCAAAATAAAGGTCAGTGTAGCCTGGAAATCTGAACCTCTGTGTCTCATCTGTTTTTATAAGGAGAACATGGTAACATCCTGGGAGTTTGCACAGGTTAACCCTTTACAGTAGTCATGGATTTTATTCAATAAGAAATTACAGACAGAAATTAGAGCCTAATATTTCTACTTAAGAGCAACAAGAAGTCAAAAGTTGAGGTGGGGGGAAGACATGCAAAAAATGAGTTAGGAGGAGAGGGATTCTGAAAAATCAAATATAAAAATAAGAGACTAACTATTCAGACACACTACCATGCCGTACCCACATCTTGGCAAACGTTCTTTGTGTGCTCCTATCAGAGAGAAGTATTTTTATTACTCACCGCATTTCTAATGAAAAAGCATGAATGACATACTAGTTGTTTATCCAAGCAGCTGGAGAAGACACTGGATATGCCCTTTCTCATATAATTCTTGGCCAATGATATGTTTATTCTAGGTGATAGCTGCAGTTCATTTGTCTGTTGTTCCAGATGCAAATGGCATGCTATCAAGAATGAAGTACCATAGGTACAAAAATCAACTGCACAGTGCTATTAAGTTTTACGCAAAGTTTTTTGTTTTTTTCTCTTAGGATACTCCAGAGCACTCTCCTTCCACCCAACTCCTCCATTATTAAAAACTGTAAATTGCAAATGGAATAATAAAAAAGTCATTGTGAATAAACTAGGGAAAAAAAATCACATGAAGTTAAGAGGAGGGTAGAAATGTGTATGTACTTTTGGGGTTTCTGTAGTATATGAGAACTGCACCAACAGTTCCTCACCCAAAACATTTCTCTTGGCTGGTGAAGCTAAACCCTAAGGGAGGAAGTGAGGAAGAGTGAAGAAAAAGGAAACCTAGGCAGTAATTCTGTCACAAGACGTACAATAGATGCTGAGTGTTGACACAGCCAACAATTTGAAGAGTTTGTCAGTCTGAGCTGAATCTTAGCCTCCGGTAATTTCTAGGGCAGTTGAGCGATTAAAAAAATTAATCGCCATTAATCATGTTGTTAAACAGAACACTATTTATATAAATATTTTGGATGTTTTCCACATTTTCAAATATATGGATTTAAATTACAACACAGAACACCAAGTGTACTGTGCTCACTTTATTATTATAAATATTTTCACTTTAAAATTAAAAAATAATATTTTTCCATTCACTTAATACAAGTGCGGTAGTGCAATCTCTATCACGAAAGTTGAATTTACAAATGTAGAATTAGGAACAAAAAATAACTGCATTCAAAAATAAAACAAAGTCCTCTCAGTCCTACTACTTCTTCAGCCAAATGCTCAGACAAACAAATTTGTTTACATTGGCAGGAGATAATGCTGTCCGCTTCTTGTTTACAATGTCACCTGAAAGTGACAACAGTCATTCGAATGGCACTGTTGTAACCGGCGTCGCAAGATATTTACGTGCCAGATGCTCTAAAGATTCATATGTCCCTTCATGCTTCAACCTCCATTTCAGGGGACATGCATCCATGCTGATGACAGGTTCTTCTCGATAACGATCCAAAGCAGTGTGAACCGACACATGTTCATTTTCATCATCTCAGTCAGATGCCACCAGCAGAAGGTGATTCTCTTTTTTGATGGTTCGAGTTCTGTAGTTTCCGCATCAGAGTGTTGCTCTTTTAAGACTTCTGAAAGCATGTTCCATACCTCGTCCCTCTCAGATTTTGGAAGGCACTTAAACCTTGGGTCAAGTGCTATAGCTATCTTTAGAAATCTCACATTGGTACCTTCTTTTCATTTTGTCAAATCTTCAGTGAAAGGCTTCTTAAAACGAACAACATGCTGGATCACCATCCAAGACTGCTATAACATGAAATATATGGCAGAATGCGGGTAAAACACAGAACAGGAGACATACACTTCTCCCCCAAGGAGTTCAGTCACAAATTGAATTAACACTTTTTTTTTTAAACGCGCATCATCAGCATGGAAGCATGTCCTCTGGAATGGTGGCCAAAGCATGAAGGGGCATAGGAATGTTTAGCATATCTGGCACATAAAAATACCTTACAATGCCAGCTACAAAAGTGCCATGCAAATACCTGTTCTCACTTTCAGGTGACATTGTAAATAAGAAGCTGGCAGCGTTATCCCCCGTAAATGTAAACAAACTTGTTTCTCTTAGCGATTGGCTGAACAAGAAGTAAGACTGAGTGGACTTGTAGACTCTAAAGTTTTACATTGTTTTGTTTTTGAGTGCAGGTATGTAACAAACAAAAAAAATCTACATTTGTAAGTTGTGTTTTCATGAAAAAGATTGCACTATGGTATTTGTATGAGGTGAACTGAAAAATACTATTTCTTTTGTTTATCATTTTTCACAGTGCAAATATTTGTAATACAAATGTAGAGTACTGTACACTTTGTATTCTGTGTTGTAAATGAAATCAATATATTTGAAACTGTAAAAAAAGTTCCAAAATATTTAATAAATTTCAATCTGTATTCTACTGTTGAACAGTCTGAGTAAAACTGCGATTAACCGCGATTAATATTTTTGAGTTAACTGCAATTAATCAACATCCCAAATAATTTCTATTTAAATTTTTGCTCTGACACAGCAGGGAGCAGTAAGCAGGGACAGTGGTTGTACATTCTGCCAAATATTAATCTCATTCTCATGGAAAAGCTTCCTATCACCCCTTACTCTAAGTTACTTATTCCAGGAAAAAGGCTTAAAAATAGGTTAGTGAGGCTGCAAACATTAACGGATTGATCCTGCATTTTCTTTGCGCTGAGAATTCCCAACGTCTTCAATGGGAGTTTTATTGGGCTCAATTCTGAATTCCTTGTGCTGCTGGATCATATTAAAGAAGTTCTGTATTAAAATCACAAATGAGTTTGATTCCCCAGAGTTTAAATTCCAGGGTATTACTAATTAAGAGGTCTCTTGGTTTTTGGTACTGTTTCTCTCCCTCTGTGTGTGAAACTTGCAAGCTGCTAATTGTGTTAGTACATTCTAAGACAGAGTCTGCTCTCAAAGCAATTCTTTGTAACAACAACTACTCACACAGAGAGAGACTCAAAGCAATACTCTGTAACAACAGAAACAGCACCCAGAGACTCCCCGCCCTCTTGTTGTATTCACCTTGCCTTGTCAACAATTGTGATTAAAATAGAGATAGAGGATGTATGTGGATGGATGTTTGGTGTGGATAATAACTGAATGATCAGGGAGGTGCCCGCCGAAGAATCCACTGTCCATCGGCCAAAGAAGGCGTCAAGTGGAAATAACCAGAGGACCCCCGGAGGGCAGACTGGAATCCACCCAACAGCCTCAAGGATGAGAGAACCAGAGAACAAGGTAACATCTGGCAGCACGGAGCCGTCAGGAATGTGACATCTGTTGATTGATTCAGCAACAGCATGATGAAGCAATTCCCATAGACTGACATAGGAAGAAATTCCTATAAAAATGGACTCTGGAAAGTGAGAACTTTGGGGTCCGATTCTGCAAACCAACTTCCAGGAGCATCAGATGTGCATCTGACGAGGCCCTGCTCCCTCCTCATGTCCAGGCCACCTGGCCAGTGGTTTGGCATGAGCAACTCTAAAGCTGGTAACTATGATAACAACCTTGCAGAACGTGTGTGTGTGTGTGTGTATAAATATGAGATTTAATGGAATGTTATAGCTATAACCGACTGCTTACTATGATTCTTTCTGTATTCACAATAAATGTGGTATTTTGCCTTTTCCACTTTAATAAGATCCTGCTGGTTTTTATTTTATTGGTATAAGAGTGCAACCAAAATACAATATATACACTATAAAAATATAACGTGATGTTTGATTCCCTCTGCTACTGTGTTTAACATCTGCAGAATGTAGTTTCACTTACATATAAAAAAATCAATGAAAAGGTGATCATCTTCAACTACCCGACTGCCTGCAATAAGCATGAACAAGCTTCAGCACTGAAAAGGACCCATCACATACACCTTAACTCAGGCCAGGGTTCCAAAACCTTTTCCCCTGAGGTCCACCCGTGCAGCTGCAAAAGGCACTGCAGCCCACTATTAAC